CCTCTGGGGATGATGAGGCTCGCTTGGGTGCATTTAGCATTTACTATGTGTTTCACATACATGAACTCATTTAATCCTCACAACAGCCAGCTGAGGTAGGTCCTGTTATTTCCTTCATTTGAAACCTTAAAATATGGAGGCACAGAGAGGTGAAGTAATTTTCCGCATCACACAGCTAGTAAGCTGTAGAGCTGGGATTTGAACCCATGACTCCAGAGTCCATGCCTGGGGTACAAACTGTCTGTACATGGCCTTGCATTGCACAGGCAGGCAGTTTCCCACTGTGACGTCCCAGGGACGATGAAAGCATCTTCAGCTCTGTAGTGATCTCTGAAGAGTGAGGCACACAGTTTTGAGCCTCTGCTGGATACAGCTCCAGTGGCAGTGGGTTCTTATTGATTTAACAGCCTTCTGCCTTTTCCTTGCTGACAGGGAGTAGGAGAAGATGGGAGTTGATAGTGACCCAGAAAGGACAACCCACCACCCACGTCCTCCTGGAGCTGACAATGTTCTCTATCTGCAACATGATTTCTGGGAAGAATGCACAATTGTCTCTTTGTCCTCAGCCTCCTCTCTCTCAACACAGAGGCTTCATCATCTGGGGTCTGCCGAGCACTCTTCACCCACCCTGTGGCCATGTTCCCTTGCCCTAGTCCCATCCTACAGGAATATCCTTTGCAAATGGCCCCTCATTGCCTTCTCTTCTCCTTCCCCCCGTTTCTGTACTGGCTTCTTCCTCCACATTTGTGGTTGCTCATCTGCTCTGACTTCAGTTTGGATGCACAAGGCATACCCCAACGAAAGCCATGCTCGGGCCACAGCTGGCATCACAGCTTCCCTCAGTTGTTCTCAAATCTAAAGCAGGGGTGTCCAATCTTTCGGCTTCCCTGGGCCACATTGGAAGCAGAAGAATTTTCTTGGGCCACACATAAAATATACTAATGATAGCCGATGAGCTAAAAGACAAAAACCACCCCCCCAAAATCTCATAATGTTTTAAGAAAGTTTACGAATTTGTGTTGGGCCGCATTCAAAGTCATCCTGGGCCGCATGTGGCCCTCAGGCCAAGGGTTGGACAAGCTTGATCTAAAGTGTTAGCTCTGGTCGCCCACCATCTTCCCCCACACTGTCTTCTTCACTACTGAGCCAGGAATAGGCCCTCAACACCTTCCCACAACCTGACCAGGCTTGTTGTTAAGACAGCTCTCCACACTCCCTAGTGGCTGTTTTCCAGCTTCTCACTCCTGCCACCATCACCCTCCTTCTTTCCCCCGCAGTTGATGGCTTTTCCCGCCTTTCATGTGGGTACCACTGGACTCAATACAGATGCCGCTGGACAGAAGTCCCCCATGTACCACACTTTCACATCTGCAATCTTTGCTGTACTTTTACCCATACATTGACTCACATCCTCATCACCTCTTCTGCTCCTATTCACATTAACTTTCTCGGACAACTTTCTGTACACAGACTCCTCTTGCAGGCTCTCCAGCCTCACCCCAACCACTCTACTCAAAGCACCCTTGTAACAGTCACCAAGGACCTCCATGTGGCCACGTGCCATGGATGCTGATCCTGCCTCTTATGTGACCCCTGATTAATATTCACTCACATCTCCTTACAGTTCTTGTCTTGCCACTCCTAACACCTTGCTCTCCCTGTTTCTCTGACTCAGTCTCCTTTGAAATTGACTATCTCTAGCTTCTCTCCAGGTTAGAGTTCCTTAGAAAGTTTCCCCTTCTGCCCTCTTTCCCTGGGTGACCTCACCTAACCCCATGGCATTAAATACCAGTTGATTTATCTCCAGACCAGACCACTTCCTGAGCACCACTCTTATTTCCAGCTGCCCCAGCGATATGTATGATTTGATGTCCCACAAACATTTCTAGGTCAACATTTCCTAACCAGAACTGTTCATTTTCTCCCACCCACAAATCTGTTACTTTCTGAGTCTTCTCTAGCTCAGTGAATGATAGTTGCCATAAAGGATATAACAAGGATTTGCCAGGCATCTCCCAGGACCTGTTAGCTACTGTATCCCTCATTTAACAATTATAATATGAGAGAATGATATCTATCTTCAATTGACTGATAAGGAAATAAACTTATAGGTTAAGTCACTTGCCCTGGATCACAGTGGCAAAGCCAGGATAGGGACTCAGGTCTTGATTCTAATGGCCTTGCTCTTTCTATTCCACTCACATCTTTTCAAATCGTGACTCTTGCTTAATAATCTGGAGACAATTTTCATCCTTAGGCCCCTGTAGGGCCACCATGTTGCATACTTCTAAGGGGACATTTACCATGTCATCTGTGAGGATGGCGGTTCCTGGAGTTTTGCAGAGACGGGCATTCACATGAAATAGAATGAGAGTGAGTCCCTCAAGGCGGGCAGGGTGGTGGCCGTGACTACTGTCATTTTGGCTTTCTTTGTCCCCTCCCATCCCACCTGACTCCATTCTGTCTCACCTCTTCCCCTCTCTTCCACTCCATCTATTCTGCTTGCCCTGCCTACCTCTGGCCAGGAACTCTGTCAGACTGTGACACAGAGATGAATCGGTTATGGCTCCTGAGTGTGAGGAGTATAGAAGTGTATCAGTCAGGGTTCTCCAGAGAAACAGAACCAATAACATGAATAAATAAATACACATGCATGCACACACACCACCCACACACTTCCTATCTGTCTGTCTATCTGGTTAGATTTATTTCAAGAAATTGGCTCATGCAGTTGTGGGGGCTGGTAAGCCCAAAATCCATAAGGCAGGCCAGCGGGCTAGAACTTCTGGCAAGGCTGACGTTGCCTGCAGTCTTGTTCTGAAGGTGGGAAACACAGGCAGAATTTCTGTGTTGCAGTCTTGAGGCCAAATCCTTCCTCTGCAGGGGACCTGAGCTTTTTCTCTTAAGGTCTTTAAATGATTGAGTGAGGCTCACCCACATTATGGAGAGTCATCCGCTTTACTTAACGTCAGCTGATTGCAAACATTAATCATATTGAAAAAAAATACCTTCACAGCAATATCTGGACAATTCTCCAGATGTTTGATCAAACAATTGGGCACCACAGCCTAACCAACTCAACACATAGAATGAACCATTACATGTAGGTCACAGTCAGTGGCAAGAACACAGATGAGAGAACAGTCAGCCCATACACCTTCTGGTTCCTGCCGGGCTAATGGATAGGAAGGTCACTTCCTATCAGTGGTAAGGACACAGATGAGAGAACAGTCAGTCCATACCTTCTGGTTCCTGCCAGGCTAATGGATACGCTGTGGGATGCATAGGAGGAGTGATTCAGATTTCCAGAAGGGACAAATGGACAGAGGAGGTGAGCCTTGAAGGTGAGACAGAGAAAGGAGCAAAGACGTCCCAGGCCAATGGTGCAGCCTATGCAATGGAAGACAGGCCTGAGAAGCACAAGGCTACAGGAACGTGGAGGTCCAGAGGCTGGTGCTCCCCTCACATGCATGCTGGGATGTGAGGGGAGGGGCTGGCCCCTCAGTGCACAGCCTTGAATATCACAGTAAAGTTTGGACCCAGTGGTTCAGCAACTATCATTTTTGTCAGACCAGCTGAGCCTAAATCAGTAGCTTAGAGCCCATCATACTGTAAGAAATGGATATTCTTCCAGAATTGTATTTTCTGTCCTAGGAAGCAGGACATTCAAGCATTATTTTAACTCTACCTGGCTACCTGAGACTTTAAGGGCTTAAATCTTACATCAATTTTTCTTCTTAATTTAAAGCAATTTGAAAAACTTCTTTAGTTATATAAGTATTTTTTTCACTGCAAAATATTAGAAAACTATAGGAAACCAAATAATAAGATAAAAATTGACTAGAATATCCTGGCCAAGTGGTAACTACTATTAATGGTTTGGTCGGTTTTCTGCCCATCTATTTTCCATGTCCATAAATATGCATCTGTCCTCTGTTCATCTCTGCGGCCGGTATCTGCTGCTCTCCCATCCTGTGCTGGGCCAGGCCTCTCCCTTTCCACTCGTCCATGCATAGTCTGTTTGCTCTTCTGAAACTACCTCTTCTCCTAACGAGGGCAGGGCAAGGTCTGCCTTCCTCAGAATTGTATCCCCATAGCCTAGAATACGAGGCACTTAATATTTGTTGAATAAATAATTTAACGTATAAATATGATGTTTTAGGTTTAAGCAAAAAGACACGTGAACATAGTTTAAGTACATATATTTTGTGAATCTATTAAAAGGGCATCTATTTTTTTTCTTTTTTATTATACTTTAAGTTCTAGGGTACATGTGCACAGCGTGTAGGTTTGTTACATATGTATACATGTGTCATGTTGGTGTGCAGAACCCATTAACTTGTCATTTACATTAGGTATATCTCCTAATGCTATCCCTCCCCCCTCCCCCCACCCCACAACTAATGTTGAATAATGTTTGTTTATATATCTTCCTTTTTCTTGTCAAGTAAGAATTTATTATGAGCATTTCCCCCGGCATCAAATATTCTCTCATATATATATATTTATTTATTTATTTATTTTTGAGACAGAGTCTCACGCTGTCACCCAGGCTAGAATGCAATTGTGCAATCTCGGCTCACTGAAACCTCTACCTCCTGGGTTCAAGTGATTCTCCTGCCTCAGCCTCCTGAGTAGCTGGGAATACAGGCACACGCCACCACGTCCAGCTAATTTTTTGTATCTTTAGTAGAAACAGGGTTTCACCATCTTGGCCAGGCTGGCCTTGAACTCCTGACCTCGTGATCTGCCCGCCTCAGCCTCCCAAAGTGCTGGGATTACAGGCGTGAGCCACCGTGCCAGTCCTATTTTTTTAAAGGACTCCTTAACATAATTTTTAAGGACTCCGTAAGACTTCATCATATAGATGTATTGCAATTTATCCATATTTTTCTGCTAGATATTTTTTTATCATATTATAAATACCATTTTTCCAACATGGAAAATGCTGCAATGAACATCTTGACCTTAGCTCCTTGTGCACATTTTTATTCCTGCTTTAGAATGCATTTTTATAAGTGTAGTAGTTGGGCAAAAGGGCAGAAATATTTTTATGGTTCTAGAAACATATTTCCAAACTCCAGAAAAGCTATAGAATTTTCCACTTCTGTCATGCCAGGGATTCAGGGTATGATTTTGGTAACTGTTTCCAATTTGACAGGTGAGACTGGCACTTTGTTTTAATTTGCACTGATTTTATTTTTACATCTTGGAGACAGCTAGCCTAGTGTTTTCAAAATGTGCCTCATCATACGAATTACCATCTGAATGAAAATATTCCAGAGAACAGCCTGTATTTAATAAGCAACAAGGCAAGTGTGGGAAGCCCTGCACTCAAAAATAGAGAAACTGAGGACAGAGGAGAGCAGGGAGGTGCCCAAGTGAGGATGCTGCTAAGTCCCATCCTGGCATCCCAGCCAGAGCTCCTCACAGCAAACCTTTCGAAGGCTGCTCCGGGCCACCTCCTCTGACTTGCACATCTGAGAAAGCAGCTGTCTAATGGCTTCTTTCTTTTTCTCTTTCTCAGAAATAACAACAACAAAAGTTCAATACCTGAAAAGTGAACCATGAAACTCAGTAAAAAGGACCAAGGAGAAGACGAAGAAAGTGATTCAGCGAAAAAGAAATTGGTCAGTGCTTTTTTTTTTTTTCTGTCTCCCTTATATGACTATTCTGGTCACCCGGGGGTAGTTCCCCCTTCCCCCTGGGTCAAGGGGAGGCTGTTAAGGTGAAGCTGGGCAGAGAAAAGAGTGAGCAGCAGCTGAAAGCCAAGTTCTATGGGAAGGCGGCATCAGGATTGTAGAGTGTATGGGGTGAGGCTCAGAAGAGTGAAATTGACAGTCCTGATCTGCTGGTGACTTTCAGGGCTTGGGGCAAAAGTCTCCATTACAAAGGTCATTTCTCAACAAGGGGACATTGATGTTGACAATGATTATGTCATCATCCTTAAAGATACACTAAAATCCACCCCCTAATCCATCACAAGGCTTAGTCCACCTGCCCCTTCCTCCAGGAAGTCCTCAGCAGCCATTAATAGGATGACTTTCTTTCTTCTTGGGACTCATCAGACCCTCTCTTTAAACCTGATTCAAGAACCAATAGCCAGAGAGCGCCTACTCTGTGCTGGACCTTTACATAGGGCTCCCATTTAAAGACAGACTCTTTACATGGTTCTGTCTGGATCAAACCATGGTGAGGGCATCACTAGCCCTATTTTACAGGCAATGAACTGAGGCTCAGAAAGGGATGAAGCCACTGTCCAAGGCTATGTGGCTAGTACAGGTTTGAATCCTTCTTAAACCTTGGACTATCTGTGCCTTGTCTCCTGTGATGAGTGTGGAAGCTACTGTGACTCCAGGGAAAATGTATTTGTATTTATAATAAACCTCTATTCGGTAGGACAGAGATCAACACAAGTCCATTTACCAAGTTGTCAACAAAGTGTGAAACTGGCAAACTGAACATCATTGTCCCCATAGAGGTGTGAAATGGAGGATAAGGGTGCAGTCACCTGTTTGAGGTTACCCAAGACCCCGCACAAGAATAATGCCAAATAGACAGCAATTCTCTCTAAGTGGAGACTATATCTTTTCTTGGTGCTTACATTAGGTGAGTCAAGAATCTACTGTCTAAGTATTTAGTGTAATGAAGGAAGGGATGTAGTCATTTCAAACATTCTGCTTAAATGATACTCAATAGAAAACCCCCCTTCTTTTCCAACTCTTCCCTGCTAGGAAATTTCCACCTTGTCTAAGATAACTTTTTAGCCTTAGGAAATCATCCAGAGGACAGTTTAAGGTCAATTCCAGAAAGTGATGCCTATCTACTGGACCCCGTCCCTGAGCCAGGCTGGAGGAAGGCTAGGAATACAAAGAGGCTTAGCACACTGTGGGTTTGCTGAGGCTGCCATGACAAAGTCTCACAGGCTGGGCAGCTTAAACAACAGAAATGTATTGTCTCACAGTCTTGGAAGCCAGAAGTCCAAGCTCAAAGTGTCAGCAGGTTACTTCCTTCTGAAGCCTCCCTTCTTGGCATGAGTGGCTGCCTTCTGCCTGCATCCTCACGTGGTCATCCCTCTGTGTGTGTCTGTGTCCTCATTTCCTCTACCTATAAGGACACCAGGCATACTGGAATACAGCCCCATACGTATGACCTCATTTAACCTTAATTACCTCTTCAAAAACCCTATCTCCAAATACAGTCACATTGTAAGGTGCTGGAGGTGAGGACTTCAACATGTGAATCTGGGGCGACACAATCAGCCCATTGAGACGCACACTATCCCTGCCCGCAGTGAGCTTCTGTGCAGAGGGGAAGGCACGTGTGAGCAGCGCACATGGAGCACAGAGGCAGCAAGAGGTTGGGGAGGCTGCTGGGAGGAGGTGACGAGGGAGTTCAGTGCTGAAGGGTGAGCACAGTTCAGGGCAGTCAGAAGGGAGGGCCTGAGCAAGGTCAGGAGAACCTGAATGAGTAGGAACTTCATAAAGACAGGCAAGTTATGAGCGAATGAAGGAACCGATGAGTGTCAGAGCAGGCGGAACGTGCCCCAGCCCAGAACATCTGGGGATGTTTGTCTTATGACTTCATCTGTGATAGGAGTTGCTTCCTTAGCAGTTGCCTGGAGAGCGGGGCTGCTGCCCCTGTGGAATGGGGAACCGGTCCTGGCTTTGGAGGCGGGCTCCTGCATGCTCCCCCTGAACTTCAGTTGTTGCACCAAAATGTAGGTCTAATAGTTCCTCTGAGGACTGGATGGTATCATAAATGTGAACACACTTGGGAAAGTCCTGTGCATGTGTAATAAGAGCTGAAGGTGAGGCAAGTACTCTGGCTACCAGGAGCCCTGGTTAGCTGCCATCTGGGTCCGGGAGGGACCCATCCCCCCGCTCTTACTTTCTGTCCAGCTGTAGTTACACATTCATGTCAACTGCCTAATTCCTGGTGTCTTTTGAATTTTCAATCCCAACAGAGAACTACGAAGCAATTTTTAATGGGATGAGGGGTCACCTGATCCAATTTGCACTTCAGCAAAATCTGGTGAGGTCCCCACTGTTACAGATGAGGAAACAGGGAGGGTATAGACAGGGGAGTCACAGCAACGGGATGAGGAGGGGTAAACGAGGTGATGAAAATGCAGTCCCCATCAGGACAGCATAGGGGCAGAGGGGCCCTCCATGCACAGGGATGCGGCTGTCCCTGCCCCTCCTCTGCCCATCTCCTGCACTTCAGGCCCCAACCATGCTCCACTGACAATTTCACTTCCTCCCACACACTGCAGGCATCTGTGCCTGCAGGCCTTGGCTCCTTGCCCTCTCACCCCATATCCTTCTCCATCTGCTCAGAAGCCGCCTCCTCCAGGGGGTCTCCGAGATCCAGCTGAGATTGGTGTGGTGCCTCCTCCATGCTGTCCTGGGGAATCCTGCCTTTTTAGGCCATGTTGTAATTAAGGATGTGCACATCAGAATGCTGCTCTAGGCCCACCACTCAATGAGGAAACCAGGCTGCACGGCTGAAATCCAGTTCAAGAAATAGCCGCTTCTCCCAGGGGCGTGCCTGACAGATTAACATGCAGAAGGACGATTGCACTGAATGACTGGTGTGCTCAATACATCCCCAGCCTAACTCCTGAGGGGTCGTCTTCCTTTTTGCAAGTCTTGGTTCTCCACTTGCTGTGAGCAGCCACATTCCCACCACCGTGCATGTCGGGGCTGGATGTTTCTGTGTGCGTTTCGCATTCCAGGTTCCTGGCATGTCTGCTGTACTCCACACCTTTTATGTTAGTGTGTGCTTTTTACTAAACGTACTTTGCTAACTTTTTGGTCTCTCTTTTGTGGACTGAGCCCCACCTTGCCTCCTGGACATTGTGCATTCACCAAGCCTGTCCCTGGCTCTGGCCTCTGCACTGCTCTCTGCTTCTGGTAACAAACTGTCCTAGCCAAAATTGAAGGTGCTTCTCTGGCATCTGAGGCAACATGGCCATGTGATGAATTGATTCCCACAACCTCCTGGCGTGCATGAGGTCCTCGCCTTCTCAACACTGTCCTTGAGCCAGCCTGGGGCTGGCACACAGGACATGTCCCGTCAGCCAGTGCTGAATGAGCAGGACGGAGTAATGACTAAGAGGCCAATTCTTTTTCTTCCAAACCCACAGCCCTCGCCTTTGTCCTAGGCTCCAGGATAGCCCACGCTCATTTCCAGCACGCCACTCGGGGCTGGCTGTTTTCTATTTGAGCTTCAGAATAAGTCTGCAGGACAGTCAGAGTGGGGTCAATATTCCATTTTGCAGTGGTAGAAGTGGCAGCTCAGAGAATAAAGTGACTTGCCTGAGGACACACAGTTAAAAAGTGGAGGAGTCAGCCGGATGTGGTGGCTCACGCTTGTAATTCCAGCACTTTGGGAGGCTGAGGCGAGCAGATCACCTGAGGTAAAGAGTTCAAGACCAACCTGGCCAACATGGTGAAACACAGTCTCCACTAAAAACACAAAAATCAGCCAGGCGTGGTGGCGCACGGCCTGTAGTCCAAGCTACTCGGGAGGCTGAGGCAGGAGAATTGCTTGAACCCAGGTGGCGGAGGTTGCAGTGAGCAGAGATTGCATCAATGCACTCCAGCCTTGGTAACAGAGAGACTCAGTCAAAAAAAAAAAAAAAAAAATGGAGGAGTCAGGGGCAGAGCTGTATCCAGGCTTCTGTGTCAAATTCAGCCACCTCTCCATTCTGTTTCAAGCATTAGGGAGGTATCCTAGATTAATGGCAGTCACCCTGCTCCAGGCTTTGTTAAGAGAGAAAAATAAAAAGATGCTAAGAAAAAAAAAAAAAAAAAATTCCACCCCCTGGGTGGTAATCCTGGAGAGGACAGATTTCCCTTTTTGGACTGTTTCGTTGTTGTAATAACTTAGGAGCAGGGAAAAAATGTTGCCCCGTTTCCTGTTCAGGCATGATCAAATTGCCACACTTCCTGTCGGGAATTCCTGCCCTCCTTCAAGTGGACTCTGCCTCCTCATTCACGAAGATGCCTTGGCAGAGTCCGGGGTCCCTGGACCGAGCCATCAGCTGGGTCACCGAGACCTGTGGCAAGGAAACAAAATACGAATTCCAAGGAACTGGGCCTAGTTTCCCTCACAGATGACACCAGCCATGCCGGGCCTCCAGGGCCAGGGAGGGCACTGCTGGAGTGTGACCACCTGAGGAGCGGGGTGTCAGGTGGGAGGAGAAGAAAGGTAAATACAGACACCTTTTCTGCATGGCTGGAGGGCTGCGGGTAGGGCAGGCCTGGGTGGCAGCCATGTGACAGTGCTCAGCCACAGCCTGGCAGCGTGTGGCTGGGGGATCTGGGGCTTTGAGGCAGGGAGGCCCCAGTTTGAGTTGCACTTCTCCATCTGTGTGACTTTGGCATACTCTCTCCAAGCCCCAGCTGACTGGGGCAACAGTGTCTCTGGTAGGCTGGGTGTGTACATGGAACGAGGCTATAGTGGCAGACTGCCCTGCCCCGTGCTTGTATGGTGGTGTCCCTCTTCTTACCCTCCCTGGGGCACGGCACGGGCAGCAGCGCCGTCGGTCAGTGGGCGCCCTCTGCCCCTGCAGTGAGTGGGGAGCGGGTGGAGGGCACAGGCGGGCCACACAGGCAGAGGGCTCCGGGGAGCACAGCTGAGGCAGGAGGAGATGGCCCCCACCTGCCCTTCACCAGCCTCTGGCAGGGGCACTTCACACCAGGTGCTCCCAATCTGATGGGGTGCAGATAAGGGAGGAGTCTGTGTCCTCTAAGGACATCGGGGCTGGGAGCAAAGAAGGCACAGGGCACAGAAATGATGGCACAGTCCAGGGGCTCAGAAGAAGTGGTATCTGTGCTAAGACTCAGAGGATAGGTTTAAAGAGAAAGAATGATAGACAACAGGCGTTTCATCTGAAATGTGATTCTGTTCCATTGGGGATCCCCATTCAGCTCAAGCTCCTCTCACTGTAGAAAAATATTCTGGTCCTACATTTCACTTGGCAGCACCCATCCCTAAGGCTTATAAATGCTCCCTCTTGCCCCCGCATGTGATCAGCAGCCTCTACGGAGCACCTCCTCTGCAGCAGCTCCTCAACAACATATGTGGCCAGGGCTGCTATTGAGATCCCATTTCACAGGTGGGTAAGCTGAGCCCCAGAAAAGTCAAGTCACTTGACCAGGCTCCTACAGCTGATGGGGCCGTCCCTGGAGGTAAAGCTGATATCACTTGGCTCAAAGCCCCAAAGCTCTATCTTGTGGCTGGTAGCACTAGAGGAGACAAACGAGATGGGCAGAGCAGGGAAGTGGCCATTAGAGACCCACATTCCATTCCAGATGGGATTTGACTGATTTGGGTCCCTGAACCATGGACCCATCTGTCTTCTTCACTGCTGCATCCCCACAGCGCTGTCAGGGCCTGGCGCCTACAAAACACACACACTCACAAGTATGTCAAATGATGGCAAAGAAAGTGCATTCTGGAGCACCCTGTCCACTTGGCCCATATTCCCCCACCAGCTGAGGATGGCCGTCCCTCCTGCCCTGACTTGTGCCAGTTTGTCAGCCTTTGCCAGGGATCTAGGTGTTTCTGCCCTGTGGCCCTGTCCTGGTGGTGGCTGTCTTTAGATGGGGCTGCAGGACAGGACAACACCAAGGCAGACACCCTGTTCTCTGTGCCAAACCTTGCATCTCTATGTCTGCATGCCCTTGTCCCGAGGCTTGGACCAGCCCCTGTAGTTTGACACCTCAGCCTAGAACAGTATGTGCATGTGCGTGTGTGTGCACATTTGTGTGGTGGTCAGCAACCTCAGGCCCCTGGACACTGCACTCAGGTGACGAGTCAGCAGGGGACTGTGCAGTGGTGACTACAGGGGCACTGAAGCCAGGCCACCTAGACTTCAGTCCCCATCACAGATAGCACCAGCCACGCTCCGTGCCCCTCTTTCCTCACCTGTAATACAGGATATAACAGCACTGATCTAAGGACTCAGAGACAATGCTCAGAAAGTGCTTAGAATCACGCCTGGCTGATAGCGCTTGGAGTCTGGCTTTGCATTTTTCTGTCCGGGTCGGACACTCGCCAAATTCGCTAAAAGGATCATGTGGAGCTGCTCAGAGCACCTGCTGAAAACTGCGCTTCAGGGATCCTCACGCAACCCGGAAGGAAGGCAAGGGCGTGGCCGCTAAACCTGAGGGCGCCCGGCCTGCGCACGCGGACGTGGACCGGAACCCTGTCTGCAGGCCCCCAACTTGCGTCTCTTCTCTCTGCCTCCATCCCAGCCGAGGACAACGACTTCTCCCCCGGAAGGCCTCCCCCAGCTGAGGGAACGTTCCAGGTCTTCCCTCGGACCTGGCTGCGCGCCCGGTGCCGGCTCTGACGTGATTTCCTCTCCCCCTAGGACTGGTCCTGCTCGCTCCTCGTGGCCTCCCTCGCGGGCGCCTTCGGCTCCTCCTTCCTCTACGGCTACAGCCTGTCGGTGGTGAACGCCCCCGCCCCGGTGAGTGCGCGCCAAGGCCCGGCAGAGGGCACTGCGGCCCCGCGGAAACTTTCGGGTGCGCAAGGGCCCTGGGCTCCCGGGTCTCGTGCGGGACGCCGCAGGGACAGAGACCAGGCCCCGCTCGGGGCGGGGGAGGCACAGAAACAGACAATGATGACACGGGGACAGGGGGCGGGGAATGACAGTTCTTGCGGCTGGAGGGTGGGTGTCCTGAGAGAACGTTGGGAGACTCGATGAGAGGGGGCTTCGGAAGTCCCGGGGGGCGGGGTGGGGAGCTGTCCTCTGGCCCCTAATGCCGGGGAAAGGAGCAGGAGGGGCCTTATGCATGGAAACTTGGACATTTTCTTGATTTGTTTTGTTGTTGTTGGTATCTATCTATCTATCTTATCTATCTTATCTATCTCTCTATCTTATCTATCTATCTATCTATCATCTATCTATCTATCTCTCTATCTTATCTATCTATCTATCTATCTATCTATCTATCTATCTATCATCTATCTATCTATCTCTCTATCTTATCTATCTATCTATCTATCTATCTATCTATCTATCTATCTATCTATCTATCTATCTGTCTATCTTTGAGATGGAGTCTCACCCTGTCACCAGGCTGGAGTCCAGCGTTGCGATCTCGGCTCACTGCAACCTCCGCCTCTCGGGTTCAAGTGATTCTCCGGCCTCAGCCTCCCGAGTAACTGGGGCTACAGGCGTGCGCCACTACACCCGGCTAATTTTTGTATTTGTGGAGATGGTGTTTCGCCATGTTGGCCAGTCTGGTCTGGAACTCCTGGCCTCAAGCGATCTGCCCACCTTGGCCTCCCAAAGTGCTGGGATTATAGGCTTGAGTCACCGCACCCGGCCTGTTGTTGTTGACTTTAAATTACAACCAGAGGCCACTCAGGTATCTGCTGGATAAGACCCGTCTTTGGCTTGTGGTTTACTCTGAAATCAGATCCAGGTGCAATTCTTCCAGGCCCTCTTCACATTGTGCCTCTGGTTTGCAGTTAAAGGTTGGGTCCCGCCTACCTAGGCTGTAAGGTTTAGGTGCTATCCTGTGGGTGCTGGCTTTGGTTTTGACCCACCACCACCCACGGGTAAGGGCAGGATGGAGGGTTAAGGGAAGCTTTCCTGCAGGAAGTGATGCCTGAGCAAGTTTGGAAGGTGGAGTGATGGATGGGGGCCGGGTTGTAGGACACATCTGGGGAAATGTAGGGAGCTCCAGGTTCTTGGAGCACAGTCTGTTTTGGGGGCAGACAGGAAGCAGGCTGAGGACAGCCCCGAGTGCCTTCCAGGCTTTTCCTTGCTTGGGAGTCGGGCATCCTTGTGTATAAAACACAGGGGAAGCCTGGGCCCGGGAGCCTCAAAGGTTCCCAGGAGCCCTGGAATTTTGCAGAGGTGCCTCAGGGATCTAAGCACTATTTGCGCAGATCAGTTCTGTGTTGAGAAAGTTTGTTAATTATTTGACATTGTTCAGTTCTGTTGCTAAAAACAGTTTGAAAACCAGGGGGCCTAGATGGCTTCAGCAAGCACTGGCAACAGTCAGTGATCTTTGATTTTGTCATTGTGGCGTCATCTCAAGATGGGGATCTGACTTGTTCATATTTGTCTTTGAAAGAGGGCTAGGAATTTGGACTCTTGCTTCATCTTGAAAGTTCATCAAAACAGCCAGGTGAGAGGGGGCAGATCCTTTGCGCTCATGGCTTGTGGAGCAGAGATATGTGAAACTTGCACCCGGGATAGAATGATATGGGTTCAAGCTCTGACTGTGGGAACATGAGGAAGGAGCAATCCCATTACTCACTTATTCATTTAGCAAGCTTTGTTGAAAGTTTATGATGTGTCCAACTCTGGGGATCAGGGAAGACAACCTGGAGAAGGTGGTATTTGAGCTGAGCCATGAGGGATGTGTAGGATTTCCACAGGTGTCACAGGGAGGTAGGGAGCTGAAGCACACACACAAAGGCCCGGCTGTGCCCACATGGTGGCATAGTAGGAAGTTAATAGCGTGTGATGTGCCAGTACCTAGGGGGAATGGGGAGCTGGGATGAAAGAACAGGTGGAAAAGCAGGATGAAGTCAAAAGAAGAGGGCCTAAGATCTTAGGCTGAGGATCAGGATTTTAGTCTTGGGCACTGGGGAACCATGGCAGTTTCATGGGGGTGGGGGTTTACAACTCACAGTTTTTTAAATTAGAATTTGTTTTTCTTTAACTATGACACAGCCTCAGGAGGTCCTGAGAACACGTGCCCCCTTATTTGTTTACTTATTTAATATGCTCACTGTTTTTTAGAAAAGCAACTTTGGTGTCAGTGAGAAGGACAGGAGGGGCCAGAGCTTAGAGGTATTTAATGGGAAAGACCATAGTAAGCCAGACAAAGAGGGTTTAACGTGCCCTCCCTCCATTTCGGGAGAGGAGGGGATTTCTGAAGACCTCCACAGCCAGGGTGGCCTTTATGTTTCTTAAGATGAATAACATATATTATGGCAGCATCAGTAACAGCACAGATGGAAAAAGCCCGCATGAGGTGCAGGCCCTCCTCCATGCAGTTTTGACGCATTAATCAGCTCAGTGCACCCTCATGACAGCCCTGTGAGGTATGGATCATTATTATCCCCATTTTACAGATGAGGAAACTGAGGCACACTGTTCACTGACTTGCCCACAGTCACATAGCAAGTGGAGCCAGAGTTTGGCCCTGGGTGGGCTTCTGGTTTCCCAGGCATCAGACACATTTTCAGTCATTTTTAAAACAGATCCTTTCTGTGCCAGCCAGTGTTAGGCCACGGGACTTCTTGTTCGGGCTATCAGAGCTCTACCTCTGTGGCCAGCATGAATAGCAAGGTGTTCAGTCTTGAGACATCACGAGGCACTTTTTAGCCTGATGTCCTTTGAACCTCGAGACCATGGCTCGTCATGCATACTTTACAGGAGCCCAGAGCAAGCACCCCGAGAAGGCCTTGAGTCCAGGACTGAGCCATCTGCCCAGATCCAGGGGCTGGGAAGTGTCATCCCCAGTTGGGCAGCTACTTCCCTGCATGTGCCGTCTGTCTTTGAAGAGGAGCAGAGACTGTGATCACCAGCTCATCAACTCTGCCAAAATGTACTGCGTGCCAGGCGCATTCCATTCTCAGAAATACTGAGACGTCAGTGTCTTTGGCTGTAACAAAATAGCACAGCCTGGGGTCTTCAGAAATAGATATTTATTTTCCTATACTCCTCCAACCTGGAAATCCAAAATCAAAGTGCCAGTGGATTCGTTGTCTGGTGAGGACCGTCCTTCCGGCTTGCAGATGGCCTCTTTCTCACTGTCTGTACACAGCAGAGGGAGGAAAAGTGCAAGGGAGCAAGACACTCATCCCACCATGAGGCCACCCCCATGACCTCCGCTAACCCCTGTAACCTCCCAAAGGCCTCATCTCCAAATACCATCGCATCGGGGTTAGGGCTTCAACACACCCCATCCTTGCAACAAAAATGTCATGCAACATTTTTGGAGGGGACACAATTTGGCTCAAGGTAGTTAATTATTGATGTTACCTTCATTTCATGAACAAAGAAACAGAGGCTCAGAGTTTAAGCAGCTTGCCCAGGATCACACAGCCAGGAGGTGGCAGTGCTGGAATTCAAACCCAGGTCTGTCTGAATCCAGGACCCATGCCGTGCGCTCCGCCCCTCCTTTCTGCCCCTGACCATTAATGGCAGGCACCAGCAGTCCAGCTGTGGGGGAGTTTGACATGATCGATGAAGGCAAAGAGGAACAAGGGGAGATGGGAGGAGCCACAGCAAGCCCAGGGCTGCTTACCTGTCCATCTACCAACCAAAAGACAGGGCAAGGTTTCACTGCAACAACCTAGGGGCTCAAGGACAAGGTGAATGATGCTGCCGTCGTGTTACAGGTAGGAACCTGTGATCGTCTGAATCCTGTCCCGACCCCTCCCTCCCTCAGGGATCTCGTAGAGCAATCCTCATAAAGGACCTGATCCAACTGAGAAACCAGAGACGGCTTTATTATTGGCTAGAATCACTCCCCAAACTCTTCCCTCCCTGTGGGGTTTGCGGTCATGTAACCTCTGCTCTGCTCGGCCTAAAGGTCCTGATGTGTTCTGTTTACTCGTGCTGCTTTGTGAGAAGAGAGGGATCACTCTTCAGGCAATCCTTCAGCGCCCTTCCCTGGGTGTTGACCTTGTTGTGTCTGGGGTAGAAAGATGAATACGACATACGTCCATGTCCTCGAGGTACCCCCAGACCAGCAGCAGTCGCAGAGGCTTAATAAATACCAGACAGTGAGGCAGGCTGCATGGAGCCACAGGACAGCTGAAGGACTTTATTCTACCTGGGGAGGTCAGTCGGGCCTCTCTGGGGCTTGAAAGAGAAAGCTCAAGGCTTTCTGGGAATGGTGAAGACCTAAGGGTAACTGGATGTGGGGCCCAAGGGGCTGGAGAGGTAGAGGCTGGAAAGGGGAGCTGAGGCCAGACCAGAAAGGTTGCGGAGGCCAGAACAGGAGCATGATCCGGCACCACCCAGGCTGTGAGCAGGCTGAGGGCCGAGGCTCACCCTGGGAGGCCCTCCCGAGGTAGAGACCACCCCGAGCGTGAGCTGAGCAGGCCTGCACAGAATCCCAGCTCCCCACGTAGGTGCCTCTGTAGAGGGCTGGCGTCGAGCCCCTTGTGAGGTCGCTGTGAAATTGAAGGAGACGTGATGCTGGAGGAGCTCAGCCCAGCGTCCAGTGATCACCTCGAATTCTCTTTTCCCCTTGCAGTGGGCATAGGAATGGGTGAGTGAGGCAGCCCCAGGACCAGGGAGACCAGGAACAGAGCAGAGACTCTAAGGAACGGGATCTAACGCAGGCTGGAAGGACCCAAGCCTGGTGGGGGTTTGTGGTGTGAGAGCTAGGCCTCACCTGGGGTGCTGGGCTCTTGAGAAGAAGAAAGAAACCCTTGGAATGGAAGAGGTGCAGACATTAGTGCTGCTTTGGGTGCTGGGTGGGTGTCTGCTCG